CCACCCTGTGCCCCCCAGGAGCATGGGAGCCCCAGCCCCTTCTGGGAGCAGGAGCTGGAGAGCCTGCACTTTGTCATCGAGATGAAGAACGAGCACATCCACAGCCTGGACAAGAAGCTGCTCAACCTGGAGACTGTGGTGAGTTGAAAGGCCTGGAGAGGGGTGTCACAGGTGGGCTTGCCTCTTACCATCTCTTCTCCCCACCTAAATCCTGTCCAGCTGAAGCAGAAGGGGATGGATCCCGGTTCCTCTCCTGGTGCAGGGAGTGGACATGGGTGCAATGCCATCACGCTCCCATTCCCCACAAGAAGGGGTGGTGGGAGGGTCTGGAGGTGCTTTCCAGCTCCCTCGTCAGCATCATGTCCCCCCTTCCAGGCTGAGAGGAACCTTCTGCTGGAGGAGAAGGTGAAGACCCTCCAGCAGGAGAATGAGGACCTGCAAGTTCGCACCCAGAACCACTTGGTCATGGCAAAGTAAGTGCTGGTCCCACACGCCCACGGGTGCATGGGTGGCATCCTCAGTAGTGGGGGGAGGAGGTGGCGGCGGGTGGCACTGGCTGCTCTGGGGGGAACTGGAGGGGCTGGCGAGCGCTTCCCCAATGGCTCTGGCAGCGGGTGCCGATTTCCCGCGGGCGTCTCGCAGAGGAGCTGCTGGCCGCCCGCGGGGCCCTGGAGAAGGAGGCGCAGCTGCGGGAGCAGGCTCACCGGGAGAAGGAGGAACTGCTCTACCGGGTGCTCAACGAGGGGGACGGCTGCCCCTTCCCCATCACTGCCGGCGAGGTGCCCCTCATCGCCACGTAGCATGACAGCACCGCGCGCTGCCCACGAAAGGGCTGTCCAAGCCCCCCCTGCTCCATCCGACCGGGATGATGGAGCATTTCACAGGACACTTCTGCCTGCCTTTCCCCAGGGGCTGCAGGGGACCCCAACCCCACTCTGTGCCATCCTTGCCCCCCTTCCTCTGGTGGGAGGCTGTGAGGGGGCTTTCTGGGGGTAAAAGGGGCCAGCCAGGACACGCAGATGCGCATTGGGCTGGATCCCACCCAGTTCTTGGCTCTGAGCATAACCAGCGTTGGTGCTGCCCAGGAGTGTGAGGTGAGGAAGATGAGGCAGGCACTGGGGTGGGGTGGGGATCAGCACTGGGAGGATGACCCACTCTTGCCATTTCCAGTGGAAGCAGGGCTTCCCCTGCCTGGGACTGCCTCGCTCCCTGGAAAGGGGGAACCAGGCAGGGCTCTCACACATGTCCTCCTCTCCCCATCACCTCCTCCATCCTCAGCAAACAGCTCCCAGGGAGCAAACGGTTCCTGCAGCCCAGGCACGTCCCCGCTCACTGCCACACAGACACCAAGCCACCCTTGTCCCTGCTGCCCATCAGCAGCACCGTCTTCTCCCCCAAACCTGGGCAGAAGGTGCGTGCCCAGAGCTGCACATTTGGTGAGGAGATCATCCTGCTGAGGGAGAGCAGGCTTCAGCAGGGGTGCCAGTGGGTCACGTCCCTCCCTTCTCTGAGCCAGCACACACCCCTCAGGGAAGGTCTGCCAGCACAGCTGCAGGTCAGGGCTGGATGCACACAAGCACTTTCCACTGGGTGTACAAGTGTGGTGGGACAGTCACTACTCTGGGGGCTGTCACTGTAAACTGTGCCCTCCCCAGGGCTGTTTACCTGGGGTGGGAACTGTGTATGTGTGTGAGTGCACCAGGCCAATGTGCTACTGGCTAAAACAATTACAAGTCTGTAAGAAACAGCAGCCTCAAGAATCCCACGTCAATGTTTTTGGGGACCAGGCAGGGGGAGGACAGGGAGGGGTGGGAGCGGGTGTCACAAAGCCGCAACAGGGGAACCCCAGAGGAGGCCCCTGCTGCTGGTCCACCTTTTCCTGCTCCTTCCCTAATTTCATTCATTTCAATGGGTTCCCAGCACAGGGCAGACCTTGACCCTCCCAGCCATCAGAGCCACTGCAACAGCCACTTCTGCGCTTTGTGTCAATCCTTATCAGCAAAACATCGGCTGAACGAGGCAACCAGACAGACAATGTGGATGCAGGGTCCAGCTCTCACCCCAGCGAGGTGCTCAGAGTGGGAGATGGAGATGCCTGTTGTGTCAGAGCAGTGTGCCCCCAGGGTACCCCACTGCTCTGTGCATCCCCACAGCTCTGGGGAGAGTGGTGGGGGAGCCTCCGGCTTTGCAAAAGCAACCTCAGGGATGTAGGGGGACATATCAGGTGCTGCAGTACCAAAGCAGGGGTCACAGGGTGGGTTGCTACCCAGCAAACACCGCCAAGCTATAGGATGGGTGGGCAAAGGGAGATGAGGCTGCCCGGGTGAGGCATCCTGCTCCAGAGACCTGGTGCTGCATCCCACACCCATCCATGCTGCGTGGGACCCAGAGGAATGTGCCCAGCTCTAGGAAAGGGGAGTGCTGGGAACCGAGGAGGAGGAATAAATGAATCCAGAAAAGGACTTGCCCAGAGTAAGGAGGAAAAAGCCCAGCACAGGCAATGTTTTGGTGGTCACAAGGGCACAGGCAGGTCAGTGCTGAGGCAGCAGGGAGGGACAGGGTAGAGTGAGAAGCCTCTGCTTTGCCATGAGCAGCTGAAAGACAGGGTAGGCAAGGATACAGGGTAAGTTGAGGGGCTGCAGAGAGAGGTTTCAACAGAAAAAAAAAAGCAAAGCCACCAAAGAACAAAACCACCACAACTCAATAACATCAGCAAAAACACTTGTCTGCTTTATCCTCTCCAAACAAAATTCCTTCCGCAGGGGCTTGCCATGAGGATTCAGGTTGCTCAAGGAGGTTCTCCAGACTCAGGATAAAACAGTTGCAGGGGCTTGTGTCAGGGCTGTGCTCCTCTCTGGGGTGGGACCTTCAGCCCAAGGGGCCCTTTTGCCCCTCAGGCACAGCATGGAGGGAGCCAGGTGCCCAGGGACCAGCTCATCTCCTGTTATTGCCCCGGAGCAGATGGGCACTGCACAACCCCTCGGGGCGCCTGGGTCACCCCCCTGGCCATGCTTGCTGGCAGGTCCCAGGGTACTGCTCCTTCGGGCCGGTGGCTCTCAGCACTGTGCCGGATCCCATACACAAAATAAATGAGGAAACCTGGGAACAGGCAGAATAGGGTGTGGGGAGGTCTTCTCTCTCCCTTCCCCTCCCAGCCTCAACATTCCCACTCCTTTGGGCCACACATCAGAGACTGGGGTGCTCCCACCTCCGTTTGACATTAAAGTTCAGCATCTCCTCTATCTGCCTGCCACCACTCTGCAGCCACCGTTAATGCCGTGGGTTCTCAAACTGCCTCTGTTCACCCGAAGAGGTTGCCACCAGCTCCGGGACCTCGCGCGTGACCAGGCTTACCGATGGCCATCCAGAGCAGGTACCGCAGCCATGCAGCTGCGCCGAGCTGGGCCAGCAGGATGCTGTTGATGGTGATGCTGAGGAGTGGCAGGAAGGGCAGGCAGGGAACCTAGAGGCAACAAGCACAAACCAACAGGGTCATGCTTCCACCCAGAGGCACCAGCCTGTCCATGGGCAGGGGTTTCACAGCCCACTTGGGCTCTTTGTAGCTTTGGCTTGTTGCTGACAGGCAAAGGCAAGCCCAGCCTGGCTGTCAGGTTTGGAGACCTGAGCTGGGGCTCCAGCCTGTGCTGGAGGGAGATGCTCATGGAGGGTGGTTTGGCTGACAGGTCCTGCACTAGAACAGGCAGATGTTACAGTAAAGGAGGGAGTAAATCACTAGCAAAACCAAAGCAGGGTGTCAGGATCAGGTTTCTTTTTACTGCAGAGCAGCTCTGATTCACACAACAGGCACTGAGCTGTGCTGGGGCTGCAGGAGGTGTGAGACATAGTGGGAAGAACCAGGCAATCCTTGTGACCCCTACAGAAAACCCCATGAGCTGCCCAGTGCCTCCAACAGCACTTCCTTCTCTGTGGATGCAGCAAAGGTCTGCCTGACCTGAAGTGGAGGGAACACCCCCCAAATGCATCACGACCCTTTCCCCATGGGTCTGCGGCACTTGCCTCCTCGCTACCCCTCAGGTCCTTCTCCCTGGCGATGGTCCCCAATAGCCAGGCTGTGTGCTCACCATGAAGGATGCTCTCTCCTGGCTCTGAGGCTGCCTCCAGATGAGCAGAGCTGTCACCAGGATCCCCAGGAGAGGCAGAACCAGAGCTGCGATGCACCAGGCACCCCGGTCCCGGAGGCAGGGCAGCCCAGAGGCACTCACCCAGCTCACAGCGCAGACCAGCGCGGCTGCGGAGGGACCACAGCAGCACGTCAGGGCAGCAGCACCCAAGGCAGCCATGGCAGGGGGGACAAGGGACAACAGCCAGGGGACAGGGCTGGGTGGCAAGTCACAGACAGTTTACTTTTTTCCTCTTAGGCCTGGGAAGCAGAAGGAGCAGGAGCTTTCCCGAGACGCCCCTGGGGCAGCCGGCGGTGCAGCAGGAGGGAGAGGACAGGAGGGAGCCGGGCAGCCCTGCCTGCATCCCCGCTGCCTGCCAGCTGGTTTTGAGCAAGCAGGAACCTGCCAGCCCGTGCTGCAGCAGCAGCGTGTCCCATGGGTGCCCCACACCAGCTCCCTGTAAAGGCCATCCATCACTCCTGGCCATACCTG